ACTATAAAAGAGCTCTCTATAAGGATTCTAGGTTGATCTAGGGCTGGTTTAATCTGGTAGCCAACATCAAAGCCAAGTATGGCATCCAGGATGACGACTTATATAACTTCAACAAGGTAGGCTTTATAATAGGCTAGATATCTACCTAATTAGTTATTACAGCTTTAGAGAGACGAGGAAGGCCTAAATTAGTCTAACTAGGTAATTAGGAGTGGACAACACTTATCTAGGATATTAATACTAAAGGATGGGCTATCCTACCCTTTATTATCTTTAAGGCACGCTAACATCTATTAAGCTGGTATAAACTAGGCGATCTACCTTATAATTAGGTTATCGTAGTCTCTAAGAATGGCTGGATAACTAATAAGCTTAGTCTTAAGTAGCTAAGGCACTTTAATAAGCATATAAAGAAGAAGGTAGTTAGTAGCTACTAATTACTTATTATTAATAGTTACGAGAGCCACAACTCGCTTGAATTCTAGTAATACTATAAGGATAAGAGGATTATTACTCTCTATATACCTCTATATTCATTACACCTCCTATAGCCACTTAATATTAGGTGTTTTAGGCCGCTAAAGAAGGTGTACGGGCGCCAAGCTAAAGAGCTTATAAGGAATTATATTATATATATTATAAAACTTAAGTTCCTATATTACTTTAAGCGTGCCTTTAATGCGGCAATTACTCCTAGTAATATCTAAGGAAGGTTCTAAGGCGGCAAATTAGTCCTATTTGCGCTAGATTGGGTCATATTATGCCTTAATATAAAGGTATAGACTCCGTTACTATTACCACCTAGTAATAGTCCTTGGCAGTCATAAACCCCTAGTAATGCCCTAGAATTGGGGTCGTAGTTAACGCTTATAAAGTTAAGGATCTAGATGCACCTAAACAGCTCACCAACATCTATAGTTAAGGCATTTAAAAAGGTCTTAAAGGGGGTGGTAATTATTATATATAAGCTAGTATTGGCGTAATAGGAGATAGCTAAGCTTAAGGTAGTAAATAAGGCTACTACGTAACGTAAATTATATAAAAGAAAGTAGATATAGGTAGAAGGAGTACTTATAACTAAAAAAGGCTAGTAGCTGGCTACTCTTATTAGATATAAGGGCGTGTACTAAGTATCTTACTATTATTAAATAAGGGCCTATGAAGTTACCTTAGTACGGATAGTACTCCGAGTAGGAGGTGGCAGGGATAGCTGGCCATCCGCCCTTACTAGACACCTAGCCCCGAAGCAAGGGATAGTTGATAGGAACCCAATAAAAGCTGGTAGAATACACGTATACGATAATAATTAATTAATTAAATTCATCTCATCTCTAGATTACCGACATCCATCAAATCACTATGTGAATCTAATAATTAAGAGTCTCACTACCTCAACCAATATACCAATTAACCATGACGGCCCAACCAACCCCTTAGCGTATAGAGATAACACTCTATAACTATAATAACTTTATAGGATAGTATACGCAGCTATAGGCGCGCTGCGTTATATATAATCTATAAGATAAGGTCAACCCTAATTTAGTAACTCCGCTAATTATATAACTAGTAGCTATCTAAGCACTAGTTATTATAAACTACGCCCTAGTAGCCAATATTAAGATACTAGTGCGATAGTCTAAGCTATTAACAGCCGGATAGAAGGCCTTTAAGGAGGACCTTAAGTACTATAAGATCTATTATGAATAGTATAAGAGTGATCAACATAAATATAAGAAGGAGTAGATAAGTATCTAGCATATTATTACGTTTATCTATTTAATAGTAGTAAAACACCTCTAGCGCATATACTACATACCTAATTAGCCACTCCGCCAATAGGTTATAAGTCTCAAGCTCACTATCGGTGTTGATGAGTAATTTAAATAAGAGCACACTAGAGATAGATATCTTATAGCTCTAAAAGTAATGAGAAGTGTTAATTAATGGGAAACCTAGCTTGCTAAATATAATTAGGCAGCTATAGAAGTGGAGACCTATAGGGTTACTAAAGTAATGCAACTAAATGCGATCATAAAGGACTTTCTAGTAGCCATTAATAAAGTGGCACCCATATGGGCTATGGCCTTTTAAGACTATGGTAGATACGCCGCTGGCATAACTAGAAAGGAGATAATAAAACGGTTCTAAGAACACATAATGGCCAATTATCTAAG